AGAGCTAACAGCACGCCGACAGCCGTGCAGTGTAGTGACCGAACTAAATTAGGCAAAAATTGGGTTCGGGGCATTTAACGGACCGTGGGCCAACTACTACATCTGCTCTTGAACCCCTGGCCACAAACATCAGAATGTGTTCTTTGGTGAGTAGATCGATGTCATCACAACTGTACACGGTAAAAAGTACCGGAAAAGGAACTTTCTGGACCCTTCGTCAACCTTAACAAATCATGGAAAGTGCGAGTTTAGCCATGAAATATGTCGTAACACACGGGACATGGACCACCTACTACTGCCACCACCACTACTACTACTACTGCTGCTACTACTACTACTACTCCTCCTACTCCTACTCCTACTCCTACTCCTACTCCTACTCCTACTCCTCCTACTACTACTACTACTACTACCACCACCAGCACTGTTATTTCTCCTGCTACTTCTACTAGTTAATACTACCTGTGCCCCACAGCTTCATTGTTGCGACCCCATCCTCAGACCAAATTCGAAAAATTTGTCAGGTTGATTTGTTGCCTGGACGATTACAGGGGGCCACCGATCCACCCCTGGAGGACCGCCCCAACTAATTCCTACAGGCATCGAGCTGGAATTCTTAGCTCAGTTTCTCTACAGTGGTGACTAAGACATGGTTGTTAGGCGAGGTGAGTTCACACGCCGCCAAAACATAGGGAGGAAGCATGAAGCATGTTTGCGTCGTCCTCTCAAAAAAGCGAGCCGCACAGTTGCACGGGCAATGGCAAACGGAAGACAACACCAGGCAGCACATGACTACATCCTGCAGCAGCACATAGACTCTGTCCTCATGCTTGCTCCATTTAGGTCTGTCTTGCAGTTTTCTTCCACCAAGTAAACTTACCTGTCGGAACATTCTCACACAGCTCTTCACCTCATGGTCATGCTCTTTTACCTCTTTTGTGCGCGGTGCCTGCCTCAACTTCCCTTCCTCAAGCCCAACTGCAATCTCTGCTCCAGCCCAACTGGAGTAGCCCTTCTCATCGGGATCCTCCCCTTCTGTATACATCGTTCTCCTCAGACCCATCTTAAATTCTAGTTGGCTGCGTTCCAACACGAGGCCGAGATATGACCGAAGCTTTGGGGACCACTTCGCTTACAGGATGTAGAATGCAGCAGACACCACGATTCCAAACAAAAATCGTTACGTAAGCATAATATATTCAACCAGACGGCTGGCAGGGCCGGCAACAAAGAGACCTTCAAGGGCCTCCGCTACTCCACAAGACCTCTCAAGTTTCACAGTACTAAAGGGGCTAGCAAGTCAAAACCGCGGGAGCGCTGAAGGTTTCATTGGTGGGCGTATGAGTGAAAACGAGCTAAACGACTTGAGGACCTGGGCAGGGAGCATCTGTGCAGCATCAAAGTCCTACAAGCATCAATCTTGATTTTGAAATCGGTTTCTCCGGTGGTGTCCGAGGCCTGGTTGTAAGTTTGAGTTCGCATTGACTGCACATGTCATCAAAAACGGAACCAAGCAAAAAAAAAAAAGAAGTCGCGACGCTCTCTGAGCCAAGTGCCCAGGTCAGCAAGCATGCCGCCCAAACCTAAGCTCCAAGCGGCAGTGAATGAACTTCTTGACAAGGAACTTCATGTGGGGAGCCGTCATGCTCAGGGCCCGGCAGTGCCTAAAATCTGTACAACTTTCAGAATCTGGTGGAAGTGCCTCTTGCAAGCATTTGCAAATATGTCGTTGCAAGCCATGGCCATCAAACTGTAGTTTACAAAGGCAAGCGGATAGCTGAGAGGAGTGCTCTGTTCCGGGCTTCACACCTGCTGTTGTCATGGGCACGCTACAACTGTTCAGGGCTGTCTCTATGATAGCCCTACCAGCCAGAATGTCGCAGCCGAGGACCACATCAAAGGACCCAAGACCTCTGTTTCCAAGTCTCTTCAGAGGCCTCTGGTTCTGATTCATCTTGACAGGCTTCTTTTAACCAAGGCTCGTTGCCGGATGGCCTCTGGAAGCTCGGCCTAAGATTCAGCATTTTGCTTCTGATTATTTGGAAGAGCGGCGGCTGAGAGAAAAAGGTTCGCACCCAGTCTAACTCCTTGACTTCGATGGAACCTCCACTGGCTGCAACGACTTCCCTGTTCCGACCTCATTGGAAAGTGACGCCATCACTCAAACCAAAAAAATCCGTCAACTCAGGGGCGACGCTGACTTCACGTTGAAGCAGGTTCAGCGGCAACTGCTCCTGTCTTACGGGATGTCTTGTGAAGTGTCTCCACCGACAAGCGGAAAGAAGCACTCCGTCGCCACAACATGCCCACCCAAGGCAGCAGCCACGATCGATGGCAAGCCTTTTCTGACTCTACTTGTGCAGAACACCATGAATAAATGTGCGCTCGTATACTTCAAAAACATACCACTGCAACATGGACATGTCCCAGAGGCCTACCTAATCCAGCACCAATCTCCAGGACGCGCTGTCCACGCACGCGCCAAGGCCTACCGATTGCAGATCTCAGAATGGTGACTTGCATCTCAAGGGTTCCGAGCTGACTTCGTACTGCTAAGACACAGGCTCGGAGCGCAGAAGCGCTGCAAGAAGCAACGAGCCGTCCCAAAGTGTGTTACTGTACCTTCTAAGTCTTGGACACACTTGGCCGTTCACATGTCTCAAGCATGGAAACCGCATGCATGGCAAAACACGTGGTTTTGACGAGCGCACACTGAGTAAGGAAAGTCTGCGATGTCAACCCCATCTTGCCTCGGGTCTGATATCCTCGCTACGGCTTTCAGGTATCTGGATGTCAAGCTGGGCTTTGCTGAGGATGCCGCAAGGATGCGCCTGGGAATTCCCCGAGCCTCTCAGCAGGAGGTCTTTGAATCAGATGAGCCAAGCAATGATGCGGCTTGCCTGAGCGCCTTGCTCCTCATGAATGTCAACGTGCCCCCCTGGTAGAATGAAGCGCTTTGTCTCTCCCACCAGGTCGTTGTCATTCAGTGAGTTCAGAACCTGAGTCTTGGTCAAAGCTGTGAAAGACCTCACCGGACTCAATATTCTTTACGTCTATCCGCTTGCCAAAGTAGGTTGATTTAGCAAAGTCACTTCAGGGTGTCTCAAACCTTCTGTGCTGCACAATGTCAGGCTTGAATCTGGGACCTGGGCCAGCACATCGCAAGATCCGTTGGCGTCCGTCTCAAGGGGCTGGCCAGGGACAGAATCCAATATGTGGTCCAGGCTTCTTGTCCACACAACAAGAAGGGTTCGTTGAGGATCAAACAAAAAGAAGGATCAAAAAATCAAAGTCGGAGATCGAACAAGAAACAAAATCAGGGAATGTGAGGGCCTCTGTGCGAAAGCTCGATTTTTCCAAGGACGTACTACGCCAGATGAGTCAAAGAGCAGGGTGCTGCGGGGGTACAGCCTGCCTCTTTGCTAACCATTGAGGAATGTGGAAGTTGTTGATAGGAGTTCACTACTTGTACTAGGCATGATACAGGTTTTTTCTTGGTGGGGGCGCAGCCCCCATTTCCAAACCACTGGGGAATGTGGCAGTTGTTGATGAGGATTCACGAATAGACACTTCATGGTTTCATGGAAGATGATGGAAATGATGGAACATCATGAAAATTTAAAAACATGAACATGATGAAAAGAAGACTGAACGGAAATATATTTTCTAAATAATGATGACACGTGATGAAGGATGAAAACCCTGGAACCGCAAATGATGCAAAATGATGAAATATGATCTAAAGACTATGAAGAGTGATGAAAACACATGAAATGATACAAAATAATGCTTTGAAAATGAGGCACAACCTATGAAAATTATGAAAACACCTTAAGAAAGCATGAAAATGATGAACAATTATGAAAGTGGCGACAAATGATGACTTGAAGACGAAAACCATGAGGCAGGAAAAACCATGGAAACTTATGAGTCATTATGGGACATGTGAATGGAATGAAAAATGATGACAGAACATGAAACAGAATGAGCAACCATGAAACACCACAAAGATGATGAAATGCGATGAAAATCGTAAAATGAATAAAAATGGTTGGAGCTGATGAGAAAGGATTTAAAGATCTTGAACAATGTGAAGCCAGGGAAACGATTTGTCCATCGTGGTTTTTATGATGAAAGTGGCAACATGATGAAAATCATGCATGAAGATTTGATGGAAATGATGGGAAGGATGAAAATGAAAAAATACGATGGACATAAAATGTGATGAACAATGGTTTAAAACTGCAGAAAATCATGATGATATTCTGACAAATGATGATTACAATAGTGGAATATGATGAAACATGACGACCTTCCCTAGTTACTTCTTTCCTCCCTCCCTCCCATCCCTCTTCGTTTGCTCCATCCTTCGTTGCTTCTTTCTGCCGTTCTTCCTTTCTTCTTGGGTTGTCCTTACTTCTGTTTTGCTCTGGGGCGGGAAAGGATTTTCCCTTTGAAGTCTCTTCAGTAGAATGTGTTGATGTTTGTTTATCCTCACTTGATTTTTATTGACTCTTGGCAGATTGCTTATTAATCCTGATTGGATTGCTCATTGATCCTTATTTGATTTTTTGATCCACATCCCAAGAAGTGTGGTCAGCAAAAAACAGGATGGATATACAATGCTTCCCTGCCAAATGGCCTTGATGTTGGCGCCATCTGCCACCATGCATGAATTCTTTATGACTACTGTAATCGGCACCCGGGCTTAGCGGAATAGCATGAGTTGTGCCATGCACGTGTTTGAATCCTTGACCGCTTTCACTGTATCCAACGCAGATCGACATAGAAGCTCGGAGCCAACAATTTGAGCATACTGCAGCTGTGCAGCAGGCATGCCAAGTCATATAGTACCAAGTTGTTGCCGAAGAGTTTCAAACACTTCCAACATGTAACCCAGGCAAGCTTCCAATATGCAACGCCGCCACGGACGTCACCGAATATGTCAAAGACTGTTCACACATCAAGTTTAAGTTGAAGTCATGTTTTCGCTCGCATGGTTACAAATCCTCCTCGTCTACCTTCCGCTCTTTTCTGGCTGGCGCCTGCACTTGGTCCAGACGCTTCCAAGCAATGATTCCTGGCAATGTAGTAGCTTTGGCCTTCTCCGCGCCTTTGCTCTTGTCCTCGCCATGTGCAGGGCACGGCACTATTACATGATAATACAGGTCTGCTTCTGATGACAATGCAAACGCCGGTTCCAGCTCGACACGAGAGAAGCATCTTCCGACTCCGTGCCTTCCGTTTCAACTTCTCTGTCTGGCTGTCTCGCTTCTCCTACACGTTCATGATGCATTTAGCTGCATAAAAATGCAAGAGTCGCCCATCTACCACGCGTCCTTTGGTTTTGCAAGTGATGCTTCCGATATCTTCTCGTCCTGTCATAGCTTGCAAGGACTGATGGGCCACCAGCACGCTTGCTGGTGTTGAGTAAGATGAAATCCTGATGATGTGGCGATATGTGGCGCCATGAATGGAAGGTCTCCAGGCTAGGCAACCCGATGTTTGGCCCGCCTTTCGCTTTTGCTTCTCCTGCTTCACTGCTTAGCTACTGTCTTTGGGCTAGCAGCGAGCTGAAGCGGTGTGCGAATGAATGTGTTCACCGAGCGTCTGGCTTTAGAGAATCTGCACAAATTTAGAAATCTTCAATTAGTTTCATACCAGTGACCTCGTCACCCAGTTCTCATTCATTTTATGCGTTGCCTCTCTCGTTGATCTTGTTAATTTTGGATTACCTCGTCAAGGGCTCGTGGTCTTTGGTTGGTGCAATTTTGGGCTTAGGGTATTATGCGAAGGGGTCAGGCGGGCCCCGGCGTCACCCACCTCGGTACTGCAGGGAGAGAATCCGGGCTGCTTCCTACAAATGATTCTGCTTACTAACTTGCCTCCAACCCCGGAAATCTTTGATGCCCCCCAAAGCTCATAAAACTCGCAATTCAGAAGGGCCACTCCTCAAAATATTTCAAGATGAAAGCCAAAAAGCGAGGGCAAATTCGCGCAATGTCGGATTGGAAAGAATGGAAAGAATTTGCGGCAAATTCGCGCCATTTCGGATTTGAGCGGATTTGCGGCAAATTCGCACGATTTCAAGTGTCAGCGAATTTGTGGCAAAAAATGCACGATTTTGTATCCGAGCAAATTTGCCGCACATTCGCGCGATTTCGGATTCGAGCAAAGTTGCGGCAAATTCGCGCGATTTCAGATTCGAGCACATTTCCGATGTTAGCGAAATTGCGGTAAATTTGCACGAACTCAAGTTGAACGGATAATTCCCACTTGGCTCAAACAAGAAGCAACAAGAAGCACATTCAAGTTGTTAATCAGGGAAACTTGGACATGGTATGTGTTGACTGCATGCAGGCACACGTCATCTTTTTACACTAGCAGATACTTGGGAAATGCATCACAAAATGCGTGCCATCGATCGAAGTGGTGGTCCCGGCTACAAGAATGATGCCCAATTGCCAGGTGTGACGAAGATCCATCTTTCGCCATATAAATCGGCCACATTTCCCCTGCTAGCCTTGTCTATGGGATTGTCATGGGTGCAGACGTACTCGACCCATAGGTGCAGATTGCGTTCCTTGACTTGTCTCCATGTGGCATGCATCAGCTCATTCATGTGGGCATTGACGCTGTCACCCTTTATCAAGGAATCTGTAGCAGCTGTGTTGTCAATGAAGTGAATCCATAATTTGTCCCTCAAATCTGGCCACGTACTCAGTGCGAGAAGGGGCCCTACGGCTTCGATTTGGGCAATCACAGCACTGGAAAGGCACGACCATTTCTGAAGCAAATGTGGCGGCACTCTGCAGCTTGTGATGCGTGGACGGTCGCTGGGCCGTTGCGTGTCCCATCGGCCTACTGCCACCGGGCCTGTCCCCTCCCCGTCGGAAACAGTAATTACGAGCTCGAGGCCACCAACGTCACCCGGCAACCTGCCCGTTCTCGTGCTGCAAGGCCCACTCTAGCCAACCAAAAGTAGCACGAAGGGCTGGATTGAGGATTGTGAATGAAGCTTTCTGTCGGGACCGCAGCGGGGCCAAAATGGCTGAGCCACTGCGCCCCCACAGGGTTGATCGCACCCAATTGAAAGCTCCATGGAGGGACGATGCTTCCGCTGATGTCAAGTGGTTATGGGCTCGCAGCGTTTCCAGCAACTTCTGGATCTTAGCGTGACATAGCCAGACCTCAGCAGCGGTGCCATGCAGTGAGTGCTCTACCCCCAAAAGCCTTAAATCCGGGCCGGGGGCTGGAGACTTCCTAGCGTCCCAGCGCCATCCTATGAGAGTCATGAGCTCACAAGTTAGGGCATGGGAGTGGGCGGTTGATGCTGCAGGCTCCACGTCCCACATGTCGTCACTGTAGTGGCATAGGAGGATCGCCAGCTTCGTGCGAACCACATGGCAGATGAAATGAGGATGCTGTACGAAGTTCAACTGGGCGGCTTTGTTACCAAAGGCACCTCCTAACGGTCTAACCCATTGGATTTTCCGTTCATGCGGATTCCAAATAAGCTCGTAATGTCACTGACCATGGCCCGGCCACAGGGGATCCTGCCGAAAAGCCATCTCCCAGTCAATGCGGAATCCATGAAGTTGCATTACCGCATGTGCCGTTGTAAGGTCTTCCGGTGAGTAGCGCTCGCAGAGAGACACTGTCTTGTTGCCGCCAGACAGCTTCCAGTCTGAAATGTTGCGACAGCTCCACGATCCATCCTCTTTCTGTTCCCATTTGGGCCATCATGGAGTCAGGCAAACAGACTCCAGGTCTAAGTCTGCCACCTCCCCAGGACCAATACAGTATCCCATGTCCAACTCAGCTTGCAGCTTCTCCCAGGCCTTTTCATCCAACGCCTGATCACCAGAAGATTTTACTGCCTGCAGCATTTTCTGGTTGCGAACGGGAGCCTCGGCTACCCAAGCCTCTAAAGTTTGCTCTGCTGGATTGTGTTCCGAGCGAAATGAGCCAGTGGGTGATACATCACCTAAGCACGGCTCCCGAGCATCAACCTTGTCAAGTACTGCTTATCAGGAAATCGGGTGTCTTCAATGAGCCATGCAAGGAGTGGCAAATGCAAATGTCCAATAACCTGTCGCACCTCCGGATGCAGCGGATTGACCCACGCAGGCCTCTGCGCTTGAAGCTCGTGAGCCATTTTGCGGACAGAATCCATCTGCGCCTCCCTCCATGCATGCAAGGAATCCCAATGATCACTTTCCCTAAACGCGGTGGACAGACACACTGTTTTGGCAGCAAATCCAAAGCTGTAGTTGGGAGGGTCAGGGTGAGCCACTGGGCCCACCCTCCTGCATTCACCTCATCCGGCCACCTGGGGCCGCCAACGACTGCGCCCACACATCGGGCGATTAATGGGCAGCCGCATCGGCTGCAGGAATATGACGGCGCACCTGTCGCGAAGAAGAGACGAGCCTGGCCCAAACAATTCCTCAGGGCGGGTGGGCGGGAAAAAGCAAACCTGGACAGGCAGATCCTGCACACCAGTCGAACTGAAATCTAACACAAGTGTCACCAAGCTATATACCACGCGTTCATGCAAAGTGATAGTTCTGCACGACGAACGTGAGCCTGCTCGCCGTTGGCTATAGCTCGGCCAATCCTGTCTCGCAGACGATTTCGAGATGGCTGCGCAGCGATGCCCAGGCCAGGGGAGTCGGAGACAAGGCTACGCAGCGAGGGTGTTGTCAAGACACATGCTTTGCAGGCGCTATCATTCACACCCTGCGCAGCAAGCTCCAAGGACGTGCCCGCGTGGGCCCGTCAAGGTTTTGTTGGGTGGCGCTTGGCCCGACAGTGATCGGCCTCGCATCCTGGATAATCACACTCGTGTGCATCGGGACACGCAGCACCCTTCTTGCAGCCACTAGACTTGCTGAAAAAGTGACAGATCTTACGGCCCTGCTTAGTTGCTTGGCGCAAGCCAGGCCATGATGGGGTACTTGGCTGCCGGTCCTCCTTCCTTCGGGAGCGGCTTCTAGACCTCTTCCTGCTTTTGGACCTTTTCTTTCCTGAGCCTCTACGCGCGCGTGAGCAGCTACGTGATGGTCTAGGCTTCTCATCATGCTTGCGGACATCTACTGCACGGTACAAGTCAGTGAAGAGGTAGGCACTATGCCCTCGATGATGTTTGACCACATCACTGAATGTTGGGAACTCTTTCTGCCTCCATGATAACATCCACTTGGTTCGCATGTGGAAATCTGCTTTGAGGGGGGACTGCACACAACTGGGGTCATATGGACCTTCAATCGCTTTGCACATGACCCACTGGTGATACTCAAGCAGAACCGTTAACCCAGCATTGTCAAAATCTGGGAAGGATGCCTGGTTGTAAGCAATCATGAGTTGAAAGTGGCACTCGCGAAGCTTCCACAAACCATGCACCGGACTGTAACCTGCGGACGGCTGCGCCTGGAAACTGCCTCCTTTGGTCACAAACAACTTGAAATGAGGATCGGCTTCAGTCTCTGAAATGCTGCGGACATCAGTCTCAAGCCTAGGCACAAAGTCCGTACGCTTGTCATAGAACCGCTTCAGTTTCCCCAGCAGACCGGTTGTCGGTAGCCAGCCTGCTGGCCACCTGAACGTATAGTGCTGTTTGACATGGTCGTCAAGACGCTCCCGCTGCTCGGTGGCCAAAGTGGCATCCTTATGCACATCTTCTCCCCGCGCTTGAGCTTCAAGAGCAGCTTTAGTACGTGCTTCTGCATCTCTCCACGCGGTCTTCAGGGGTTGCACGCTATCATGTCAGCTGGGTCAAGCCCAGCAGGACGGCCTACCACCTCAACAATACCCGCCTTGGAGTCGGCGAGATCTGCAAAAGCTGCTAATTTGGTGATCTTCTTATCGACTAGGAATTTTGCCACCACCTCCAACACACCGCATCCAGCAAGCAATCATGGAGCTCCTCAGACAGCCTTTGCGTAATGGCAGCACTATATGACGCCATTGCTGGAACGCCTTAGTCGGCACCCCTCCGTTAAGAACAGACACGCGACACAACACGACGCATGCTGGAGAGTGCTGCCATGCTCAGGAAAATCAACTCTGACATGGCTGCTGCAGCGCAGGAAAGCAATTCTACGAGTTTTTTGGTCAGCCGAGGTGGGCATCAACAGCAAGGCTGTCTCATCCTGCTCCGTGCCTGAAGATGTGTCATCAGTCTCGCGCGAAGAAGCTTCTTGTTCCCCTTCGCCTTCCTCAGAGGCTGCGTGATCCCACTCCGGGATCTCAATTGGGGACGCTCCGTGAACAAAACACAGGAGACAGCGGACATACAGGCGCAAGTTCTCTTGCTGCTCTGTAGTCCGCTCATAGCGCGATAACTGGATGTTCCTTGTGTTTTTACAGGGTGGGTCCTTGCGCAACACTCCTGTACGGCAGTTGGTGATCACATTGCTGACCGGAGTGGCAGTGGTTTGCCGTCTTCGCTTCGGCCCAGGACCCATTGCGCCACCAGGCGTCCTCTCTGCCCGGGCACATTCCGCGCTGGCACGTAGCGTAGCTGCATC